ACCTGTGGTGGGGGGTCGTTTTCGTGACTCACGCAGCGTGGCTGCTGGGGACGGCGCTGGGGGCGGCGCCCCCAGCCCGGCACCAGCGCCTCGGCGTCGCACCCACCCACGACACCAAGCAGCAAGCCCCAGCCCTGTAGCCCGGCACAGGCGCACCACACGCCACACCCCAGCAGGCCCCCCCAGCCGCCCACTTGATTGGCCGCAGCATGTCTCTGTCCTTGATGACCATCTCGTAGGTGGTGATGAGCACGTCAAACTTGTACTGCCGCCCCGCCAGCAGCCCCGTCTCCCACTCAAACGCGCGCAGCACCTGGCGGGGAGGGGGCGGAAAGCGGGGTGTGGATGGGTGGGTGGGTGCGTGCGTTTGTCAGCAGGCGAGCGAGGTGGCGCGGCTGCGTGCGCGGCGTGCGGCGGCCGGCCAGGGGAGGAGGGCCCGGACAAGGCAGGTGCGAGGCATGGGCGGGCCCGGCCGGCCACCTCCCCGCTCACCCACCCACCCAGCTCCCCAGCCAGCCAGCCCCAGGCAGCAGGCGGGCGCCCCCCCTCCAGGCGGCCACCCACCTCCCTGCTCTGCGCATCTCCCACGTACACGATGGCGTTGACAGAGGGTATCCACTTGCGGAACTCGCGGATCCAGTTGGGTACCGTGGACAGCGGTACCACCACCAGGAATGGTCCGGCAATCTTGCTAACCTCAGACAGGTAGCCTGCGGGAGGGGCGGGGGGGGTGGGGGGTGGGGGGTGGGGAGGGGGGTGGCGGCATGGGATGGGATGGCATGCCACGGGTTGATGTTGCAGGCCTGGGAGCACCCTCCGTTCCGGCTCAGCACAGCGCCAATGCAGGGCGCCAGCCCCACAGGGTCCACCCACACCACCACCCACCCACCCACCTATCATGGACGCGCACTGCACCGTCTTGCCCAGCCCCTGCGGGGAGGGGGGCAGGAGGCAGGAGGGCGCGGAAACAGGGGTGAAGGGCAGCGTCGGAGCGGGGGGCAGCGCCGCCGCTGGTGCCGGCCAAGGCAATCGCCTCTGCCGCGGTCAGACACAGCTGGGGCCCCCGTACATGAATCCCTCGCCACCTGGACTCAGCGCTTCCAGGAAAACACACACACACACACGCAACCCACACACCCAGCCACGACCCGCACCATCTCGTCCGCCAGGATGCCGTTGCAGCCTCGGGACCATGAGTACACCATCCAGTTGAGTCCATCCAGCTGGTAGTCGCGCAGGGTGCCGCCTGGGGTGGGGTGAAGTGTGGGGTGTGTGGGTGTGTGGGGTGTGGGGGTGGGGCCGGACGTGTTGGGGAGAGGGGAATGGGGTGGATGTGCGCGTGTGCGGCGATAGGCAGGAGCAAGGGAAGCAGGGAAGGGGCACCGCCGTACTGCTGCTGCTCGCACAGCCAATCGCCCAGTGCGTGGGCGCAGGCGGGCGGCGCACCGCGGGCCGGGCAGGCCGCCCCGCCGGCATGCGGCCAGCCGTGAAGGGTACCGCACTCACACCCACACCCGGACCCACGTGGCCGCAGCCCACACTTCCTCCCAAGCCCCTGCACCACCAACCCTCCCACCCCACCCTTGAGGTAGTCTGGCTGGGCGGTGAAGGCGCGGGATCCGGAGGAGGCAAAGGCGCGGCGCTGCGCCTCGACAGTCTTGCGGGACTCCTGGATGCGGCGCTCCCGCTCCTGGAAGGCCGCCACGTGGGCGCCCTGCCCCACCCCCGCCAGGCCGGCGGCGGTCTCGTAGGTGGCGTCGCAGTAGGGCAGCCCCTTCCACTTGCACAGGTACTTGACTGTACGGCGGGTGGGCGGGGGACGGAGCAGGGGGGTTGTATTATTATTGATAAATTTATAGGGGGTGCATAGGGATGAGGCAGGCGCGGCGAGCGGCGAGCGGGGCGGGGCGCTGGGAAGGCCCGGGCTGCGCGGCGCGCGCGAAGGCCTGGCAGGGGGCGCGGCGCCCTGCCTGTGCCGTCCGAGAAGGTGCGCTCCCCGATCACGCGCTCCACCTGCGACACACACACGCATGGGGGAAGAGATGCTTCAAGGATTGAAAAGGGTGTCTTTAGGTAAGTGGACGATACTAGACTTGCTGGGTGAAACATCCAGTGATTTGTACAGGAAAGGCTGCTCGATTACGTGGGGCACACACATCACTCCAGCATATCCCTCCCCCACCCCGCCGTACTCCCCCGGTGCCAGCGCCGCCGCGCCCCGCCGTGTGTCGCATATGCCGCCGCCATGTACTGGCCCCTGTACCGCCCCCCCCCTGCACCGCCCCCGTACCTGCTTGTACTCCTCCACCATCTCCTCCTCCATCTGCTTCTGCACATCCAGCAGCTCGCACTCCTCGCGAGACAGCCAGGGCCGGCGTTGCTGCAACAGGGGCGGGGCGGGGCGGGGCGGCGGCGGCGGCTTGTGGAGGGGCTGGGTATGGAGGCGGAAGACGTGGGTTGAGGGAGGTGCGGCGGTGGGGAGGCAGGCACAGCCAGAGAGGGGTGGGTTGCAGCACAAGGAGAAAACAAGGGGTGGGTGGTTGTCAACAGGCGGCACCACGCCTCTGCCTGGCGCACCTCCTGCTCCTCCACCTTCTTGATGTAGTTGAGAATGCGCTTGAAGCCAGCCAGCTGCAGCAAGGAGAAACATAGCAAGTGGGGGCGGATGGGGCCGGGAGAGGGAAGCGGCGGCAGAAGCAGCGGCAGACAGGCGAGGCGACGGCCGCCGCCGCGGCCCACCAGCCACGCTCGCGCGCTGCCTACCCCGCCGCAACCCCCGCCCCACTCCCCCCAGCGCAGTGCGTGCACCGCCTGCCTTGCCACCCTGCCACAGGCCAAGCAGGCCAAGCATGCACAGCGTGCACAGCGCACGCGCCTGGCTCAGCGTGGCCTTGGTCTCCCAGGTGCAGTGCAGGTAGGAGTGGCGGGCCCACTTGACGAAGAACTCGCGGCTGGCCCAGGGGTCGGCGGGGCTGGGCTCCGCGCCCTCCATGTCCCTGCGCTGGCGGGGGGGCCGGGGGTGGGAGGCGGGGGAGGCAGAGGAGAGGCAGCTGGCAGCTGGCAGGCATCGGCCCCGCTCCGCGGCACCGGCCCCTAGCCGGCTGTTCGCCACGCCGCCTCAGCCCACCGACTTCGCTTCTCAGCCACCACCTCGGCGATCCACAAACCCTATGACCCCCCACACCAGCGCCCAACACCAGCACCCAACCTCACCCACCCACCCACACCCACCCACCTGTGCTTGATCACCCGCTCCATCTCATCACCCAGCAGCGCCAGCTCATCCTCGGGAAGCAACACGTGTGGCACCTTGCGCGCCCGCTTGGCCCGGCTGTCCGCCTCCTCCTCCTCGTCGCTCTCTGGGGGCGGGCGGGCGGGAGGGCAGGCAAGCGGGCAGCTTCAGGTGCGAGGGCCCCGCGTGGAGCAGCAGCTGGTTGTCCCGAGGCAGACTGAGGCAACGTGACAGGCACCGCGGGCGCGAGGCAGGCTCGACGCAACAGGCAAGCCGGCCCAGCCCGGCCCCAGCCCCGCATAGCCCCAGCCCCCAGCCCCCAGCCCACGGCCCCCACCCCCCCACCAGCGTAGAAGCCTGGCGTGGAGCGGAAGTTGGCGGCAGGCTGCTTGCTGCCGGCGGCGGCGCCCCAGGCGCCGCTGCCGCTCGACTGCTGGGCGC